CCCAAAACCCCATTCCAATTATTAAGCCCCATATATTACCAGGGCATCAGGGCCAAGAGACCCTTTTGAAGTTTGGAGTTCAGGGGGTTTTCGGTGTCTTAGCAGGATTCGTCAGCACATAGACAGTCATAGACATCAGTTGCTTTAACCGACTCCGTGTTAGGTACAAAAAACAGTAAATAGTTACAAACATAATTCCTTAGCGCTCCTTGATATCGATGTACTATGTTGGAGCGCAAAACCCTCCTCTTTTTGTTAAGGCCCCTGCATTCGTCACTTTATCGGTTCGTGGTTGCGTGTGTTGGTCGTGGAATCCTGAATCAAGGTTTCCACAGGAGAAGTTCTCAATGAAGGGGGTTTGCAGTCTCAAAGTCTATAATTCTAAACCCTAGACCCAAAACCCCTANNCCCTAAATCCTAAACCCTAAATACTGTAACTTGTTATTTGGGGACCCTAATGGGAGCTCCTAGCACCCAAAACTCCGCAGCCCGCGCCCTTAAACCCCCAAATTGCACTGACCGAACCCTAAACCAATGTAAACCAGTGTCTTCGTGCTGGGANNNAGGGTACATTTCAGGCTTGTCGTGGACAGTGGAAAGCAGGCTTGCACACCATCCAGTCATTTAACGAGGGTGGGTTTTTGAGGTTGGGGGTTTAGGGTTTTTGGAAGCTTCGGTCTGATTGTTTAGGTTTTTGGGGTTTTAGGGCTTGGGGTTGAGGGTTTTAGGGCTTGGGTTTTAGGGTTTTAGGGCTTGGGGTTGAGGGTTTTAGGGCTTAGGGTTGAGGATGTACGGAGCATTCCTTCTAGGGGAGTCTAAACCAAGGGGCCCTAAAGCCCCCAACTGCTGATGATACAAATCCTGCATTACCTCAAGGACCCTAAACTATGGTATATTCCTAATTACGGGTAATGCAGGATTTATATCAGCAACCGGGCGCGCCTCAGGCTTGAAGCCTAAAACCCTAAACCCTACACCCTAATTCCTAAACACTGCAGGGTTACTTGCAGGATTCACAATTCATCGCAGGTTTCGGTTTGTTTTCCGCGCCTGGCTCCAGAACAGGCCCGATGGCTTGGGATCCATGTCCGACCTTGTAAAAATCCCGAATCCTAAGGTGTCTGATAGGGTGTTATAGGAGTTTACAGGGCTGTGTGAGGGTGGTTTTTCCTGGGGATCGCTGGAAAAGAGCCCTGGCCAGGTGTGTTGAATCAATCAGCGCCCACGGGGTTGTAAAACACCGGACTGGGTTCTCATAGCTCGGCATCCTTCTCCTGATAAGCCCCGAAACCCTAAACCCCAATCCCTTGGGAGTGCACCGGCTGGTCCGAACAGCCCTAAACCCTAATCCCGAATGATTCTGCAAGTCTAGATGTGTTGCGTGGGTTTTGCAAGCATGGCCCAGTTTCAGGGCTTTTGATCCACCCTAGGAGTCTTCAGATTTGAGGTTTGGGTTTCAGGTTTTTTGTTTAGGTTTTTTGTTTAGGTTTAGCCCTTAGGTTTCGGGCTTAGGGCTCATGTTTTAAGTTTTAGGTTTAGGGTTTAGAGTTTGGGGTTTAGTTCAGGGGTCCCTGAATCCTCAAACCTACTCCTCCTGTTAGGTTCAGGTGTTCGGCAGAGGTTTCAGGGTCCCGAGCCCCGTGTGCAGGGATGGATCTCTTCAATGTAAGTGTAAACCCCTGAGAAGTGACCCCCGCCGTCTTCATAACCCTAACGGTCCCTGTGCCCAAATCGTAGATACATTGCCCCCAAAGTACCGATATAGGGACCACTTTAAGCCCAAAGTATGTACTATTTGGGTACATGGACCCTTACAGTAAGGATTTCATACTTGGGGGTTCATGGGTAGGTAAAAATGGGGTTATAAGTAGGGTAACTTTACTTACAACCCATCTTAAGGGACTTATAACCCCACTTGTAGCTACCCGTGAACCTCCAAGTCAGGATTATCACAGAGATCCGGACATTCAGGCTTCCTTTGAGGATTAGAGGAGCCCGGGTCGATGCTTTAAAAACCGAAGGTTTGGGTGTCATGGGCAGGGTTTACCACAGAGGTCTGAGTTCTTGGTATAGTAAGCCCACGTGTATATATATATATATGTATGTATATACATATCTATGTATATATATATGTGTGTATACATACATACATATATATATATAAGTCTAATCATGAAGGCCATTGTAAACGCAGAGACGAGCCTTATCAAACCCGTGTTCCTAACGCCCAAATCTGACTATCCAGGCTCCATTTGCAGATCAGATAAAGGGGTTTAGGGTTTAGGGCCCCGTGGTGGGTCCTGGCAGAACCCCGAAAGGTGAGCTGGACTGCGTCTTGGAGGCGCTGGGTCCTTAGCTGGCGGGACTGGGAAATGATGCAGGCTCCTGTTTGGCGTGACTTTAGGGTTTAGGCTTTCGAATTGATGCAAAGCCCTCCCTTGACCAGGATCATGACTGGCTGTTCCTTAGGAGTCACTTTTCCTTCTCATTCTATGATCGTACTCTACATTTTGGATCAAGTCTCAGATAGCCGGTATCTCAACGTCCTGATGTGCGAACAAACGAAGATTTCTCAGGGGCTACGAAGAAGACCCGCATCGAGGCGTTCAGTTCAGGGATTGGTTTGCAACGGTTGATGATATAAATCCTGCATTACCTTAAGGACCCTAAACTATGGGAATTTTGTGATCTATTCATTTTTATGGGTAATGCAAGATTTACATCATCAACCGTATGCGTTTGAAAATGAGCCCTACAAACTCCGACACTATAGGGGAGACGAGCTTGAACAGTTTGGCATCCTTTCTGGGGCCTAAGCAGCATAGTAGAACTTGCCCATGCACCCCCAATCCTACACTGAGGCCCTTATAACCCCAAGCAGTAAAACTTCATACAAACTAAAACCTTGCAAACAGTCGGAAAGCTAATCCCCTCAATGTTGGTTTCCGCTGAAGGAGCTCCTAACAAAGAGCACCTGAAACCCTAAACCCTAAACCCCTAAACCCTAAACCCTAAACAGACGTCTCAGGTGCAACGCCACAGATGAGATTCCCGTCGGGTACGCCGAGCCCTCGGATCTGTGGAACAGGGCATTCGGTTTAGGGTGTAGGGTTTTAGGATTAGGGGGCTTTGTTTGGGGTTCAAGGTAATTCTACAGGCAACTGCTTAAGTCCTTGCTTTCGAAAAGAAGTCGTTGCGTTTCATGCGGCGTGTAGATGGTGTTTAACATATCAGGAACAGAAAAGCATTATATCACTGATGTTTGGACGAGTGCTTAGATTATGCGTGTAGATGGTGTTTCACTTGCGCCGGACAGAAAACTTGAAGGTGGGACGATTGCCGCGTGGGGTTTCAAGACCTGCATTAAATTCACAGATGTCTGTGCCGGTTGCATTTGCGTCTTGACAACTGTTGCATGTCGGCCGAATGGATACCGGTGGTGGTCATACCTTCACTTGTCGGTGGGCGTTGCTTTGCTCTGTCAGCGGTACGGCACGGAAATCTACGTTCTCCCATCGCATACAACCAAGGGTTTGTGCGCCCTCGACCAGACTCCGCATTCCATCATGGCGTCCCACGAGCAGCCTTAAGAGCAGTTGGGCAAAGGAGCACGGCGACATTAACCTTTGGCAGGCCCTGGCAGCTTTGCGCCATATCGTAGATGGTCACATGTCGGATTTGTGCCTGGCCTGCGGTTGCAGCGCCACAGAGTGCTGGAGGATCGATTTGCTGAGGCGTTTCAATCGAAAAGGTCAGGCGCTCGGGGGCTGGATGCACCCAAGAGTAAATCATCCGCAGCGCTGGATCTCGTACCGTTGTGGCGCCGGTCAAATCTCCATGCGGCCACGACGGCTGCAAAGCCATGATCGCCGCCACAGGCCGTTTTTGCTCACGCTGTGGAAAACCCAACTCCAACTTCGACGTGGCCACAGAGGAGCTGCATCAGTCCGGGAGAAAGCCCGGTTGGCACAAACCAGCACAAGCACAAGTTCTCCCCCAATCCCTTGGAACGAGCGCTCGCCAAGGGAGTGGAGGATTTGTTCCAAGCTTTGCGCAGCGCGTCGCAGAAGGCCCCGAAGGCTGTTGCATGTGACGCAACGGCCGACGCGCCGATGGTGCCTGCAAACGCCCAGCCGCCCGCAAGCGATGTGGCTGCCGATCCACTGGATGAGGATCAGGAATGGGATCTGAATGATCCCCAGGACGTCATGGACGTCATTGACCATAAATTCCCATTCAAGGATGCAAAAAAGGCGGGGTTCACCTTGGCTCAGTTTGCAAAAGTATCTGCCTTGTACGTCGATTTCTTGAAGAAGAAGTCACCGAAAGCTCCATCGTCTCAGCACTTCAAATAAGACCTATAGACAAGGGAGTCTTTGATTCCTCGAAGCAAAGGATCGCTTGGCTGAACAGCTTTGCTGCTCAGAGAGCAAAGCAATACTTGACCAAGCCTGAGACGGCAAAGGCGAAGCCGGAGTGAAAAACGGGTTTTCCGACAGGTTCCTTGGGGCGTCAAACCCGTAAAACCCTACCGTTTACTGCCCCAAAGGCTTAAACCACGAAAGATTACTACCCCAAAGAGCTTAAACCTGCAAACCCTCCAAAGTTTGCTACCCCAAGGGCTTCAAACTTGTGAAACCCCAAAGCTTGCTACCCTGTAAAGGCACGAAAGTTTACAAGCTTTAAAAAATGCTTTCACCGTCAACCCTCTCCATCCCGAAACCCTGCAGATTCCTTGTGAGATGTGACTCTTAGTTTTCCCAACAAGCCGGAGGATTGGCTGCCAGAATCCTTGCGTGTCCTTGCGTTTCCTTCGCGGCGACGGCCGTTCCATTGTAATATCTCGAGAATGTCTCACATGGCTTAATAGGAGTGCATGCATATCTGCCTGCATGTATGCGTGTAGATGGGGGGAAGACCCAAAGCAAGGACTTAGCCATGACTGTTGAAATCCTGCGTGTAGATGGGGGGACGGCCCACAGCCACGACTTAGCCATGACTTAAGCGCTTGCCTGTAGGGATTAATTAGGGATTAATTAGGGACTTAGGGATTTAGGGGTTTAAAGGGTTGCACACCAAGATTTACGTCCTTACCTCCGGTTTAGTATTTCCGGAGCAAATACTGGGAGGCTTATATTTCGGTTTGCCGGCCTACAGGTATGCTGTAGGAGTTTGGGGTTTTGGGTGTTCTAGAGGTGTCCAGGGTCATGTATGGTTTTTATCAGCCGTTGAGAAAGGCCCTTTCGGTGGAAGGGTTCACAAGTCTTCCAGCTTCGTGGGTCATACCCTAGATCCCTAGGTCACAGCGGACGACGATTGTATTTATGTATGACTTCCCAACCTGGCATGTCGGCATGTCGGGCTGCAGATCAGATTCAGGCCCCAACACCCCGAAAGGCAGAAGGAATTTTGTGCACAGAACCCAAAGCAAAACGCGAACTTAAGCAACATCCCCGAAGCCCACGCCCTAAACCTCATTCTCGAGCACGACATCTCCATTGCAGTCCAAGTCTGGAATTCAAATTCCTAGAAATACCTAACCTAGTCCAAAGATAGCCCTACCACCCATAATCCCTCAGCCGTCCACCCCACAGGGCAGCTTCAGCTAACGGCTAACATCTACTACTCCCAAAACAGCACGGCTCTTATGTTGTACACAAAGCCACACCGCCACATCCGAAAACGGCATTTCAAGTTTCAACAACCCCCAGTCTTCAATCAGACCTTTACCTTGAACCTCGTTCATTGAAGAACAGACGCATACGTCTCAGCCCCCTTTTCTGCTTGGACCCCGTCAAAAAACCTAGAGCCCCAAAGGACTGGGTGTCCTGCAACTTTGTAATTGTTATGCTCGTGGCAGTTCTTCACCATTACGCTCCAAACTCAAACCCTAATTTCCTAATGTTACACTTTTGGATCTGCCACGCCCGAAACCCTAACTTAGAATTCCCAGTATCTTAGCATTAAGACTCTATGCCTGAAAATCACAGATGAGGCACAAGCCCTCTAGTTTCGGGTGCCCGAACAGACTTCTTGTCCGATCACACCCGAAGACCCTGAACCCTAAACCCCAAACCCTGACCCCTAAACCCTAAACACCAAAACCCCGAAACCTTGAACCCTAACCCCCTAACCCCTAAACCCTAGACCCTACTCCAATTATTGAGGCCGCTCTTTGGGGCCCCTGCCTCGAGGTGAAGACATCCCTGGGCTGGGCCTGCGACGACGGATATGCAGGGACACCGGCAGTCTTCTGAATCTCGTCGGCAGTATGTTTAGGGTTTAGATTGTGAGGGATTGCATAAGTTCCGGATCCGCTTCGGGGATCACGGGTTTAGGATGTAGGGGAATCCTTGCCATTGGACTGTGGCATTGAGGTTGCATGTTGGGTTTAGGGATTCAAGTTCCAGTAGTCTCAGATCCTGAAGTTGATCTAGAGCGCGAGGTTTGAGTGTTTAGGGTGGGCAAGTCATGAGGTTCGGAAAATGGAGAAATGGTGGTCTAAGTCGAAGAGTTTTGGTTTACCTCCTAAGCTGCTGACGCAGAAAGCCCTACTTGCCTACTCAATCGCGATCCCGTACAACACTATGTTTGATGGTGCTAAGTGGTGTATGGATGGTAATGTAAGAACGATTTTTGGAGTGTCAGGTTAGACAGATAGAAAGATATCTGACGTAGATAGATACCTAGAAATAGATACCTAGATAAAGAGACAGATAGGCCCGATAGGCAGACAGATAGATCGAAGGATAGAAAGACAGATGGCACATATATTGGACCTTAAACCCTACACCCCTAAACCCCTAAACCCCTAAAGCGCCTCAAAGCCCTAAAGCCCTAAACCCCTAAACCCCTAAACCCCTAAACCCCTAAACCTAATCCAAGGCAGCTTCACACCCGAAGGGGCCATCCAGGGGGGACGAGGAAGCCCTGCGTTGCTAAGAGGGCTGTTCATTGGTTCTGGTGTTTAGGATGTTTAGGAGTTTCAGGGTTATGGGATGGTTGGGATTTTATGTGTTTTCGAGCTCAGGGTTTTTGAAGAAGTTAAGGGTCTTGGGGTTGTTCTTGAGGAGTGTCCGTGCTATGCTAGACTTCCTCCTTCGGGGCTTTCGTTGATTATTTCTGCTGTCTTAGGTCGTGGCTTGAAATATCTCAATAGTAGTGTGGGGTGCTTGAAAGCTTGGCGTTTAGGGTTTGGTTCTTTCAAAGAAACTGATTGTTGATTCTCGTTGCGGTGTGTCTGGGAGTAGGATGCATGGATACCCCTTAACCTCGACTCTGCTACCCCCAAATGCCGAGCCCCATCCCGAAGTACTCTTTAGTTCCACTCCTGTTTCACGAACAGAGCTAGACCCCAACCCCAAAACCGACAATCGAGCTCAGACGAGCGCAGTTTCTTTCTCAGCGGCTCGAAACCTATCCTGTAACTCTCTTTACTTACAGTTTAGCAGCCATTACCCCGTAATTAGTAGTAGGTAGAACCCATAAAACTGTAGGTCATTATAGAGTCCCGGGATAGGGTGTTAGGGCCTTCGGTCGACGCTGAGCGAAGGCTTATTGGGGCTACAGGCTTTTTGGTCTCAGGAAATGTTTAGATCTCAATCCGGTTTAGGGTTTAGGGTTTAGGGGCTTACGGTTTAGGGGGTTAGAATTTTAGGGTTTAGGGTTTAGGAGACCAAAGTGCACCTCTTTTGGCCAGGGTGCGGTCATCAAATTCATCCGACGGGCTGTCTGCCGAAAGTGCCTTGTGTTACCGCCCCGGTCAGGTGTCGGCAGAGCACATTCCTTTCGGATGTAGGCTACAAAAGGTTTTAACTTACCTAAACCCGTAAACCCTGAGCCCAAAAATCCTGAACTAAACCTTGAACCCTAAAAAACCTTGGCCCCCAAGCCCTTAAGGCCTAAGCCCTGAATTCTAAGAATGCTTGATGGGGAGTTGGGCGATAGGTTTCCGCTTGTTCTCACCTCCTGGAGGGCTGTGACGAAGGAACCTGATCAAGAAACCCTGGCCCGA